AAGTATACTGCTTCTCTTGCAGAATGGCTGGTGGGTTCAAACTACTGACTTTTCAGTTAGCAGCCCAATGCTTAAACCACTGTGCTACCACAGCTCCTCAAATTGTACACAAGTTGTGGTATATTAATAGAATGGAATACCATTTAAAGATAAACAGTAATAAACTACTGATATATACAATAACTTGGATGCATCTTAAGTGAAAGAAGCCAGACTTAAATACCTACATACTACACAATTGCACTGGGAGCTCTGGTAGCATAGTGCCTAAAGCACTTGACTGCTAACCAGAAGGCTGGCGGTTCAAACCCACTAGCCACTCCTCAGAAGGAAGGTTGGGCAATCTACTTCCGTAGTGATACTGCCTTGGCAACCCAAGGAGGGGTCGCTATGAGTTGGGTCTGACTCCACAGCATATAACAACAACAACAACATACAATTCCACTAATACCACAAGGCAAAGATGCAGAGATGAGAACAGAGAAATTGGGAGCCAAGAAAGAGAAGGGATTGGTTAAAGAGGGAATATTTCAACATAATGAAACTGTTTTATATCTTGATTTGGTGATGTTACAGAACACAACTCCAAGCATTTGTCAAAACTCATAGAACTTTAGAGCAAAAAGAGAGAATTTTAGCATATGTAATTTAAAGACAAATTTTAAAAGTATAAAGGAATAATTACAAAATAGGCAAATTCAGGAAACTGGTGCTTTTCAAAAGTTTCTTTATTTCACTATTAAAACCAGGCCATTTCCTTCATATCCTTGTCAATTTTTAGTATGACTGATATTTATTTTTTGTTTTACAGGTCATAAATTGTCTTTATTATAATCCCACATTTAATTGAAATTGATTGAGTGTGGAATTCTAAGGTGATTTTTTTTTCAGTTTAGAATTTTTAACTAAAAATTGCCTTTAAGCAGTGAATACTGCTGGCATTATTCAAATTCCTAATGCAGCATATAATGATCTATCTTTTATTCCTGGAATCTTTTTGACTGTATTTTTTTCTATCCTGATATTATGAAATTCCCTGATAACATACCTTTTTTTTTTCTTTTTCTATTGTGATTTGGGTAAAAGTTTACAGAGCAAATTCATTTTCCATACAGTTGTTCATATACATTTTGTTTCATGACATTGCTTGCAATCCACATATTATTGCAATCCTGATAATATACCTTTATGTAGATCTGTTTTCAGTCATTGTGTGGTTATCTGTGGAATCTGTAGTATGCAGTTCAGTGACTTTGGTCCCGGGATATTTTCCTGTCATCTTTCTGTGGTGATTTTTTTCCTCTTATCTCCCCTGTTCTCTCTTTTTGGAACTCTTATTATACCAACATTATACTTTCTGGATTTTTTTCCTAATTTTTCAATGTTTTCCTTCCTTTAATTTATTTACTTTTTACATCTTTATCCTTTCAATGTGCTTTTTGAGATATCACTTCAAATTTTATTCTAAAGTTTCAATTCTGCTTTCACATGTTTGAATTCTACAAGGTTTTATTTTATTATCCTTTGATTCTTTTCTTGAAGCATTTTGTTCTTGTTTTCTGTATAGAGGCTCTACTCTTATCTCTCTAAGTTTATCCTACTTTTTTCCTCTCTTTCCATTTTCTCCATCTATAGTGAATCACTATCTTCTTTTGTTGATTTTAATCTGCTTTTTATACTTAAGAGTGATGCACCAAAATCAGTTGACTGGAAGCTTTATGGAGATAGGTAAGGCTTATTGATTAGTGTACTTCCCTACTGGGTAATGAGGTGGCAAGCTGTTCTTCTCTTAGGTGATCCCCCTACTTTATTATCTGGCAGTATTTTATTTGGGGCCATTCAGGTTTTCCAGAGAAGATTGTCCTATTTCCTGTTTGGAGGCATTTATGACCAACTACTTGTATAGGAGAGTAGAACTGGGAAAAGCAGCCAAGGTTTTCCCTATGCAGGTTGTGTTTTCACTCTATCATCTTTTTTTTTTTTTTCCCCTCTGTCTCTCATCTCATCTTTCCATTGTGCCTAGTAACCCAAACTCCTAAATGCCTCTGGTTCCATTTTTCCAGAGAACAAATTTCTGATGCCCTCATCTTATGGAAAAAGAAAAATAAACCCAGATGCAATAGAGAACCTAATCCCTTGATTTCATGCAGCATCTTACCCCATCTCCTTGGTCTTCACAGTCCTTAACTGTTCTTAGTGTTCAGCCTCTCAGGGTCTCTGCAGGGAAAATTAGCTTGATTCATGTCATTATCCCCCTCTGCCAATACATTGGTTATAAATTTCTCCACTTAGTACTAAGTCATTTGTATCTTACTGCCAAATACAGCTTCCAAACTGTGTTGAAATCTCTCTTCTGTCGTTGTCTCCTATCTCATTTTCTCCTTGTTTCTTAATAGCTTTTAAGATATTTTTGCCATCAACTTAACATGCTTGTGGATAAACAATCTTTATCTGGAGCTGGAAAATGATTTTCCTGTTATCATCTGCAAGAGTCTTCTTAGAGGAAAAGATACCATAGAGATAAAAGGCCCTTAAAAACATTTGTTTAATTTCCTATAAAGCTTAAAGATTATTTTCAGCTACCTATACATATGAAATCTAAGATATACTCCCTTATGCTATCACCTGCGCTTGACTCACAGGCTGCTAACAGACAATAAATTTAGCAACATGCACCCAACTCAAAAAAATCTGTTACTATTGAATCAATTCCAACTAGTAGTGACCCTATAGGACAGAGTAGAACTGATCCATAGGGTTTCCAAGGCTGTAAAGTTTTACAGAAGCAGGCTGCCACATCTGTCTCCTGCAGAGTGGTTGGTGGGTTTATACTGCTAAGCTTTCCTTTAGCAGCTGAGTGCTTTAACCACTGTGCCACCAGGGCTCCTCCAACATCCACCCATTCAAGTATAATTCTTCCTGAGCTCTTCAAGACTGAACTCAAATGTCACATCTGCTGGAAGCTTGCACAGATAATCCTGGGTGGTGGTGGTGGTGGTAGGTGCTATCAATTTGTCTCTCACTCATAGCAACCCTATGTGCAGCAGAACGAAACACTGCCCTGTCTTGGACTGGCTCCATAATCCTTGCTATACCTGAACCATCATTGTAGCCACTGTGTCAATCCATCTAGTTGAGGGCTACCCCTGTTTTTGTCGACCCTCCACTTTACCAAGTATGATATCCTTCTCCAGGAAATGGTCCCTTCTGACAACATGACCAAAGTAGGTGAGACAAAGTCTGGCCATTTTCGCTCCAAGGAGCATTCCGGCTGCACTTCTTCCAGGCCAGGTTAGTTCTTTTAGCAGTCCACAGAACTTTCAGCATTCTTCACCAACACCACAACTCAAAAGCATCAATTCGTCTTCAGTCTTCCTTATTCATTGTCCAGCTTTAACATGCATATGAAACAATTGAAAATACCATGGCTTAGTCTTCAAGGAGACATCTTTGCTCTTCTGCACTTGAAAGAGGCCTTTTGCAGCCAATTTGCCCAGGGCTGTGCATTGACTGATATTTTGACTGTTGCTTCCATTGGTGTTGATTATAGAACCAAGTAATACGAAGTCTTTGACAACTTCAATTTTTTCTCCATTTATCGTGATGCTCCTTATTTGTCCAGTTGTGAGGATTTTCATTTTCTTTATATTGAGGTGTAATCCACACTGCAGACTGGGTAGAGGTTGGTATTTTTCTCCTTTTACTTTTCTTGCACATTGCAAACCTCTAATGTAGTATTTTTCACTTTGGTCAATAATTATTTGTTTAGGGGAGTGTTTCTCACAGTAGACTGGACCTTTGCAAACTTAGGAACCATGTTTTGTACTTCTTTGTATCACTTCTGCCTTCTACATTATCATCACCATAAATGTGTTTACGAAAAAAATAAATAAGCAATGTCTCTGACATCCATTTAACGATCATTCCTCCTTGTATAGTAAGCAATCTGTGGACAAGTGATGATGAACAAGTTGAGGGAATTATCAGTTACATAGAACATCAAAAATTTGAGCAGTGTCTAGAATATATTGAACATAAGATGTACTCAAGACGATATGACTTACACAGAACAACTAAGAATCTAGATTCGTGGGTTTTTCTAATGTTAATCATTAGTCTCCAAGATCACAATTGATATCTTAAAAAAGACTTCAAAATTTCAATATGCCACAGAGGGATCCTTTAGAATTGAAATATTTTATTATTTTTCAAGTATGTGTGTGTGTATCCATATGTCTCTCTCTCTGTCTTGCTCTGTATGTGTGTGTGTGTGTGTGTGTGTGTGAGTGTGAGTGTGAAGAGTGATTCATGTGGCTAGGGCAAAAGTATGATGTGGGAGCACTCTGATTTCTTTCTCCAGACTCAACCTGCTGTTGAGAAATGAAAATTCTCATCACACTTTTAGCCTGGAAAATCTGACATTAAATCTTCTTCTTATTATTATTCTTAATTTTGAATAGTGAAGGGACTTGCTTTAAAACTATGCTCATTTCTCAACAAAAAGTGAATACAGAAAAATAAAGAGATTCCATAAAGACATTGATAAAATTGATAATGCTGACATAAAGACTATCTTCTCTATTTATTTTACAGGTATTTCTAGCTTTAAGCCAATCTGATATATGTAAATCTAATTTTTTTCCCAAAGAGATTAAGTTAGAAGGTAGTCATTCTAATTGAAATTGTGTTCTTTGTCTCACAGAAGGATTTACTGAAGGACATATTTAAATAAAAAGGTTCTGTAGTGTATTTAGGTATTTGTTCATAGATTGCTAAATTATAGGAAGTGAGGCTAGGCAGTCAGGGAAATAAAAACATAAATGTTGAGGGAATATGGCCAATGAAGATCAGCACCTATTTAATAATACCAAAAATTTGATTTACACACATGTTTAAAGCAGCTTATTAACTGAGATTCTCATGGCTGGGAGGATACCACTGATTTTTATTTTCATTGTTTATGATCAGAGTTCTTTATATAAATGGAAAGAGATTCATACCTCGAAGCAATGCTATGAATTGTGGGTGTTGGTATGTCACCTGGAGTATCTTCCACAGTGGTGATTTGTGTCCCATTGCTTTTCACACAGGCATACTTTGTGCAGACTTCGACCTACAAACATTAGTTTAGAAAAGAATAAAGCCAGCCATTTTCAAAATACAGACTAACAATGCATAGAATCCTATCCACTCTCATTTCATGTGTATCTCTTCTAGTATTCTCTACCACTTGGAGCCTAAAAAATATTCATTTTTGATATTAATTGACTCCAGTGAGACAAGCTTAGAGGAGAGTGCAGAAATGGGCTCAGGACAATTGATTTAGTCACTGAAACGGTGAGACTTGGTCTCTGGTTCCAACCGTTCAGAAAGAGACAGACATATTAATCTACTTAGAGCACAGTCAAGGCATGGAAGATGCCTAGGTGACAGTTTGCAAGCATAATAGCTTATCACTGCATACTGCTCTCTAGATCTATAACCAAGTAGTGTAATGACGATATCTTCTGGAAGTCTTGACACTTTACAACAAATAGCCCAAATGCTAATGTTTAAAGGAAGAAAAATGAGGCCTAGAGAAGCCTTCCAATATGGCTGAGCTATTTTCTATCCATTTGTTCCAGCTGCAATTGTGTTTTTACCTTAATCACAGCAGAAAATCATCATTCACTCCTTTAATTTTGCCACGGTAATCTGAATAAAAACTAAGGAGGATGGAATAGCTAAAGATTAGAAATGGGGTTCATCAAACATTAGCAACACAAAAGGAACACAGGCAGCAAGAGGGAGGGCAGACAAATGAATGTGTAAAAGATTGCTAGTGGAACACCCTCGAAGCTACATCATTCTGCTCTCAATTAGAGGATAAACCAAAGGGGAACTGTACTTCTTCCAATGTTAATTTACTTTCAGTATCTAATACATAAATGGAGGAGGGAAGCTAGATACTGTGAATCTTAAGTACTAATTCTGAGCTTTTAAGTGAAACAGTTCTCTTGTTTCATTGGCATTTAAGGAAAGACAAATGTGACTCTTATTGTCTTTACTTATAGTTGTGACATTTTATTCATAGGGCAGTTTGCACCTAGCTGGGGGTTGAGGCATATTTTTATAATGTTCTTTAAGTATGTCATTTACTTATTCCATAGAGTGTTTTGAGGTGGTACTTAGTAGGTATTTAAATTCTATCATGGTCCTCTGTTGTTCGTATGTCCAATTAAACCCCAACTAACTTAAAGGCAGATGAGTATAAAATATACTTTCTGTAATATATTTAAGGAAAAGAAGATATTATACATGTTGGAAATATTTGACTATATGATGCATCATGAGATAACTCAGAATCAACTCAATTGAGTATATTGTGTGTTTGTTGTTATTTGCTGTCGAGTCAGCTTCAACTCATAGTGACCCCATGTACAATAGAATGAAACACTGCCCAGTCCTGCACTATCCTCACAATTATCACCTTGCTTGAGCCCATTGTCATCTAATATGTGCCAAATACTACAGTGGGTGCTCGCACAAATTATTTTATTGAGTCCTCAAAACTCTACTGTCACAGTTTTGCAAATTGGAGCTCAGAGAAATCGGCAAATATGATTAAGTTGGTAATATTTGAAGGTTGCCTTATGATCTAAACATTAAGCCATTTTGAGTTATAACTGTTAATCTATATTCAAATATTTGTCCAGAAAGCTTTTAGTTGATTTGAGAGAAACATATTGATACTTTTGTCATTCTTATTAAGGTAATATTCCAAGACTCCATCTTGGAGGATGTCTCGGCTGCTCTAGTTGTTTTGCATAACATGTGAGTGAAACACTAATATGAAGGTTTACTATATTCACATTAAAGTGACTTAAAATTGAATCAACATTAAATGATTGATCTTTTTGCAAACAAACATGTAAAAGGATTTGTTTAAAAAGTGGATATTTGGGTGTAATCTATACGTCTCTTAAAATCAATAGCTCTTTTAGAGAAGGGGGTTAGAATAGAGGAATTCCAAATAAATGCATATTTTAAATGACGCCAAACGAGCCTTCACATCATAATGAAAAATCACTGAAATCTGAGACTCAATTTCTAAGAAATGCCAACAGCTATTTCAAGTGTAGTCCTGAACTGTAAAAAGGTTCACAATAGTATAATTGTCAGGAATAGAAATGTCTTAGTCACAAATAACAAATTTATATTTGAATTCAAATTTGGTCTCTTATCTTTTCATTTGCTTCCATGTCCCAAATCTTATAAAAATTGTACCACTGACTCAAACTGATAGGTGTGAATGAAGTCTCTCACACTAGAATGGGTCTGAAACACTTTTAAATACCAAATCTTGCTCCATGATCAGAAAACAAGCTGGCCATGCCTGCACAACCCCCAGTGAACTCAGCCTTAGTTTGTGTTTTGAGTCCTAATAAAGTGACAGTGGGTCTTTCTAAGTAGGAGTGGACTTAATGGCACTTAGCAACAACAAATCACTGCCATCCAGTAGATTTTGACCCCTCCTTGTGTTTCTGAGGCAATATCTGGTGGCGTAGTGCCTAAGGCATTTGACTGCTAACCAGAAGGCTGGCAGTTTAAACCCACCAGCAACTTCTTGGAAGGAAGGCTGGGCAATCTTCCATAAGGATAATGCCTCAGAAACCAGAGGAGGGGTTGCTTAGAGTGGGGTAAGACTCCACGGTAGTGAGTTATCTCTAAGGAAGTAGATTACCCAATCTTCTTTCTAGTCCTTCTTCCGAGGAGTGTCTGGTGGGTTTGAAGCACCAGTCTTCTGGTTAGCAGTCCAATGCCTCAGGTACTATACCACCAGAGCTCCTTTTTTTTTTTTTTAACAATAATAGCAACAAAGCAAATAAATTAGGTCCCTTTGAGAGTTCAGCCTACTTTCTCCACAGGGCCCTAAAAGAGGATACTACAGCAAATCCTCCATCACTTTCCTATCCTAAACTGTTCACAAAACTATATTTCTAATTATTTTGAGTGTGATTATTATTTTATAATTTGCTCTATGGTCTACGCACCCACATGGACTCATTCTAAGAGCACAATGGACATAAACATTAGTCTACATAAGAAAGAAAAACAAAGCAATTCATTGCCATGAAGTGGATTCAACTCACAGCGTCCCCCAGGAGTTTCTGAGGTGGTATCTCTATGGAAGTAGATTGTGCAATCTTCCTTCCAAGGAGTGACTGGTGGGTTTGAACTGCCAACCAATTCAAACTGGTTAGCAGTCAAAAGCCTTACCCATTATGTCACCAGAATATTAGGAGTGGTAGAATGTTTTAAGCCACCTAGTCTGTCGTCCTTATAAAAAAGAAAACTGAGGCCCAATGAGGTTATATAACTTTCCTATAGTCTTAAATTAGTAATAGCAGAAACAGGAATACAAAGATGTCCCCATATTCCTAGACTGGTTCTGACTTTAATAATCATAAAAGAACTAGGAAAAAAAGCAAATGTCTGGGTAAGATTTATTCTGAATGTGTGATTTGCTTCATTTTGCTTGTTAGAATATCATCATCATCCTCATCAACATAATTTCCCTTATTATCATTATCTTCTTCTAGAGACCCATGTTATTTGCCCACAGCAAACAGACTTAATCCTGGTCAATTTCCCTACTCTGTCTCCTGTTACCCACCAAATAAATAATCTGTAACCAAGATGGAAGTTTCCACTTAGAGAAATCACCCAGCATAAACTAACCATCAAAAAAAAAAAAAAAAAGCCAATGTTCTAACCTGAATGTCATAGATAGTGAAGGGAGACAGGTCTCTCAGAAGGAATGATCCAGGCACATTCATTCCAGTCTTGTAGAGCTTATTATTTACATAGATGGAATACTCAGTGACAACACCATTTGGGTTTGAAGGAGATGTCCAGATGACATGTACAGCTGTACTGTTGATGATGACAACCTCTGGAGGAAGCATGCCCTGAGGCTCTAGAATTAAAGGGAAGAAACTGAATAAACTCCAGCTGTCTCTGAAAAAGCACTTGTTAAACTAGATGCAGATCCATATTTAGGTTTAGCAAAGGATTCACTGCTTATCTGCTTTCCTCTGATGAAGTTATCACAGTCTGTAGTCCTCTGTAAATTGGCTTATTATACTCTCAGTTAGAAACCATAAGAATTGGTGGTAAAATGCTTTATAGCACCAGCATAGTGTTAAACTTCAATATGATGTGATCAGTGGGATATGATGATAAATTATTTACCCATCCGTAATACATATCTATCATTTGCCTCTTCTCCATCCCTTCACTCCAAACCTCCCACGGAAAAAGAAAAAAGGAAAAGGAAAAAGAAAAAAAAAAACTGCTCCTTAAGCAAAATATAAAACTCAAATACATTGAGGCTGGTGGAACGTGAAAAATCATTTGATGTTACTAGCTTGTAACTCAAGCAATATGAAGCAATAATGCAATATTGTCATTATGTAAATGATTTTGAATGTTGATTACCATAGGTAATGATGAAATCTAACAATAGAAAAAAAATCTTGCTTAGCGTTAAATTACACAATTATTCAAGCATGTCAGGAATAACTATGCAAAAACCTATTTTTATCATAAGAACCCATCTTAACTAGTTGAAAAATTGTCCTTGTAATCCATTCTATTTTATAAACAAAAGGTGCTGACCTTTGGCATCACAAAGGGAAATGGGTTCCACACTTAAAGTGCTCTGCTAATGACCTGGAACACTTGCCTGGGAGGTAATGATATTATAATGTTTATAATGAGACTTTATAAAGCCAAAAAGATTAGAAAGACCATTCCAAACACATTTCAGATTCACAAGTTGCTTCCCTTACTTCCTCCCCTTGCTAACTGGCTTAGAAATGAGTCATAGGCAATTTTTCTCAGTGGCTGAACTTCCACCTACGATTTCTGGTGACTCAGGAAGGGCCCTCACTGTGCTTGGCTGTCATTTTGAAAAGCATATTGCTTCAGAGAGCAAATCTTAAAAAAAAAAAAAAAAAGTTTCTAAATGTCACCATTTATTGATGTGAACTTGGCTCCAAACTAAACATACACTGAAAAGAATAGGAACAAACTGGGCTAATATCCCATTATTAGAGCCTTGTGCTGCTGTCTCAGTGGGACCACTTATTGATCTGCCACTTGATGACAGCGAGTACTTAAGCCATTTCAGTCCAGCTGCCTTTCCCCCAACACCGGAAATTTTATAATGGAGGATGACTGATCTCACCCCAACAAGAATTAATCAATTTCATTAGCATCTCTGAAGCCAAGCATCCCTTAAAATCTGGACTCACCCCCATCACAAGTGGTTATGCATAGAATTTCACTGTTGATGCTGTGGACTCCATTGAAGACAGAAATAAAAATCCAATATTCTGTGTTTGGATTTAAGTGGCTGATGATATGGGAGTGTACATCTTGGAGGATTTTCAGAGATTCATTTGAGGTAGCAGAACTCCAAAAAAGTATATAATATTCAACATCTCCTTGTAGGTCTTGAAGAGCTGTGAACAATAAATGCAGTACAGTGTAAATGGGACTGTTTTGAGAGGTACTCAAGGAAAAAGACAGAATAAATTTTATCACAAGCTACTTCTAGAACAGGAGTCTCTGGGTGGTGCAAAAGTTAATACCTTAGACTACTAATTGAAAGGATAGAGGTTCGAGTTCACACAGAGGCACCTTGAAAGTAAGGCCTGGTGACCTACGTCTGAAAAATCAACTGCTGAAAACCCTATGGAATATATTACTGTGACACATGTGGGGTTGTCATGATTTGGAATCAACTGGTTTGTATTTCTAAAATGGGAAACAAAGAAAGCTTATGGCACATTCTTTATGGCGATTCTGGTTGGGATGTTTATTATGTTTATTTTTTTAACAAGGTTCATTTTTACCCCATCTCATGATTAGTTAGATGGGATCTTACCTTATATAGCAAAATAAGCTTTTTAATCCTCTCACATATTTTACTTATGCTACATATTATTTAACTAGTTTTCAAACTAGTTATTTAATTATTTAACTAGTTTTCAAAACTTTGATATAATACTTATGAAAGAAAGCTGAGTATAATAAAAATACAAAATATGTAGTACAACTATTGTTCGTAAGTAAAATAATCCCAGAGAGAAGTTCTTATTAATATTAATGAGGGCATTTTCCAGCCATAAATCCTAAAACTTGAAGCATGTTTTAATGTGCTAATAAAATTTTCTGAATTTTCATCTTTAGAAGGATGCTTATATTATACACTGTTAGTTTAGCAGGGCATTGTATCATGCTCTCTTTAAGGACTGGTTCAGTAGGTTTCTAGGATGATGTTGTTATTATTAGGTGCCATCTAATCAGCTCCAACTCATGGTGACCATATGTACAACAGAATGAAACACGGTCCAGATGTGAAATTCTCACAATCCTTGCTATACCTGAGCTCATTGTTGTAGCCACTGTTTCAATCCATCTTATCTCATTTCAAAAGATCTTCCCCTTTCTAGTTTACCCTCTACTTTACCAAGTATGATATTCTTCTCTAAGTAATGGTCCCTCTGACAACATGACCAAAGTAGTGAGACAAAGTCTGGCCATTCTTGCTTTCAAGGAGCATTCTGGCTATACTTCTGTCGGGACAGATTTGTTCATTCTTCTGGCAGTCCATGGTACTTTCAGTATTCTTCACCAAAACCACAACTCAAAAGCATCAACTCTTCTTCAGTCTTCCTTATTCATTGTCCAGCTTTCACATGCACATGAGGCTATTGAAAATACCATGGCTTGGGTTAGGCGCATCTTAGTCTTCAAAGAGATATTTTTACTCTTCAGCACTTTAAAGAGATGTTTTGCAGCAGATTTAGCCAGTGCAATACAATTTTTGATTCTTGATTGCTGCTTCCATTGGAGTTGATTGTGGAGTCAAGTAATATGAAATCTTTGACAATTTCGAACTTTTCTCCACTTATCGTGATGCTGCTTATTGGTCCAATTGTGAAGATTTTTGTTTTCTTTATGTTAAGGTGTAATCCATACTGCAGACTGTAGTCTTTAATCTTCATCAGTAAATGTTTCAAGTCATCTTCACTTTCAGCAAGCAAAGTTGTGTTGCTGCATATTGCAGGGTGTGAATGAGTCTTCCTCCAATTCTGTTGCTGTGCTCTTCTTCATATAGTCCAGTTTCTTGGATTATTTGCTCAGCATACAGATTGAATGAGTATGGTGAAGGAATACAACCACAACACACACCTTTCCTTATTTTAAAGTATGCAGTATCCCCTTCGGTTCAAATGACAGCCTCTTGGTGGATGCACAGGTACCTCATGTGCACAATTATGTGTTCTGGAATTCCCATTCTTCTCAATGTTATCCATATTTTGTTGTGATTCACATAGTCCAATGCTTTTGCATAGTCAATAAAATACAAGTAAGCATCTTTCTGGTATTCTTTGCTTTCAGCCAAGATCCATCTGACATCAGCAATGATATCCCTCATTCCACATACTCTTCTGACTCTTTTCTGAAGTTCCCTGTCAATATACTGCTAGAACCATTTTTGAATTATCTTCAGCAACATTTTACTTGCATGTGATATTAATGATATCATTCAATAATTTCCATATTCTGTTACATCACTTATCTTTAGAATAGGTACAAATATGGATCTCTTCCAGTCAGTTGGCCAGGTAGCTGTCTTCCAGGTTTCTTGGCATAGACAAATAAATACCTGTAGCATGGCATCCATTTGTTGAAATATCTCAATAGGTATTCCACCAATTGCTGGTGGCTTGTTTTGCACCAACTCCTTCAGTGAAGTTTCAAGTTTTTCCTTCAGTACCATCGATCTTTGATCATATGCCATCTCCTGAAATGGATGAACACAGACCAATTTGTTTTGGTACAGTGACTGCATATTCCTTCCATCTTCTTTTGATGCTTCCTGCATCATTCAATATTTTGCTCATAGAATCCTTAAACATTGTAACTCAAGGCCTGAATTTTTTCTTCACTTTTTTCAGCTTGAGAAATGTCAAGTGTATTCTTCCCTGTTAGTTTTTAACTCCAGGTCTTTGCACATTTCATTATAACAATTGTCTTTGTCTTCTTGAGCTACTCTTTGAAATCTGTTCAGCTCCTTTATCTTACCATTTCCTCCATTTGTCTTAGCTACTCTCCATTCGAGAGTAAGTTTCAGAGTCTCTCTCTGACATCCATTTTAGTCTTTTCTTCCTTTCCTGTCTTCTTAATGAGCTTTTTCATTCTTCATGTGTGATAATCTACATATGGTCCCACAACTAGTCTGGTTTTGGTCACTGGTGTTCGATGCGTCAAATCTATTCTTCAGATGGTCTCTAAATTCAGGCGGGATAAAATCAAGATCATATTTTGGCTCTTGTAGACTAGTTTTAATTAACTTCAGCTTCAACTTGAACTTGCGTATGAAAAACTGATGGTCTGTTCCACAGGGCTGGCCTTGTTTTGTCTGAAGATATTGAGTTTCTCCATCACCTCCTTCCACAGATGTAGTTGATCTAATTTTTGTGTATTCCATCTGGAGAGACCACAACCAGTCCATTCAGCTTACTAACACCTAGGATTTCCTAAGGTGTTTGACTGCTAACCCATCAGCCACTCCTCAGAAGGAAGGTTGGGCAACGTACTTCCATAGTGCTTCCACCTGGGAAACCCAAGGAGGGGTCGCTACGAGTCGGATCCGACTCCATGGCACTGAGTTTGCTTTTTTTTTTTTTGGTTTTCCAGTTTTCCTAGATTCACTCATACTTTGCACATTCCATGTTCTGATTATTAATGAATGTTTGCTGCTGTTTCTTCCCATTTTGAGTAGTGCCCCATCAGCAAATCGTGGCCTAAAAGCTTTACTCCATCAATGTCATTACAATCCAGTCTACCTCGAGGAGGCAGCTCTTCCCCAGTCATATTTTGCGTGCCTTTCGATCTGTGGGGCTCATCTTCTGGCACGATATCAGACAATGTTTCAGTGCTATTCATCAAGTTTTCTGGTAACATATCAGACAATGTTTCAGTGCTATTCATAAGATTTTCACTGGCCAATTGTTTGAGAAGTGGACATCCTCTTCCTTCTTCTGAGTAAATCTTAGTCTGGAAGCTCTGCTGAAACCTGTCCACCATAGGTGACCCTGCTGGTGTTTGAAAAACTGGTGGCATAGCCTCCAGCCTCACAGCAAGGTGCAAGTCCCCACAGTATGACAAACTGACAGATGGATCTAGGATGATAGTCAAATTTGTATAAAGGCTTTCATCCATCTTTCCTAGTTCAGTGTGCATATATGATTTGAACAAACTCTTAAAGAATATCAAAATCAATCACTTACTTTTTCATAAGTGCTGTTGTTGTGTGCCATGCAGTTGATTCCAACTCATAATGTCCCCATGTGACACAGTAGAACTGCCCTATAGAATTATCTAGGCTATATTCTTTAAGGGGAGCTCTGGTGGCATAGTACCAGAGTACCAGGCATTTGACTGCTAACCACAAGGCTGGTGGTTCTAACCCACCAGCCACTCCTCAGAAGGAAGGTTGGGCAATCTACTTCCATAGTGATACTGCCTCGGAAACCCAAGGAGGGGTCACTATGAGTCGGATCCAACTCGATGGCAGTTGCACACACAAACTCACATAATCTTTAGGGGAAAATATTGTCTGGTCTTTCTTCCAGGAAGCCACTAGGTAGGTTTAAACTTTCAACCTTTTGGACAGTAGTAAAGTGCTTAACCATTTGCATCACTGAGGGTCTCCATTTCACAACTATAACTCATCAGTTTCTCAACCCTCATCTTTTCAAAGGCCAGTCTATTCTTATCTTTCTCTTCTCCCACCCAATTTCTCCATTCTTAGACCTATGTTCTGTTTTTCATTATCTTCCCACAATGATGCTTTAAAGCATCATGTAAAGAAGTTATAAAACAGACATATTTTCTCAAATAAGAAGTAGTGTATTGGTCTATTTAGATGAATATTTTTTAAAGGATTTAAGCAGGAACTTTTTTTTTTAATGTTTTAGCTGCAAATTTACAGAGCAGAGTTTGTTTTACACTCAACATTTCATGTACATTTGGTTTCACTCCCGTATTACCAATCCCCAACCCTAACCCACTGTCCTTCCCTTCCTTCTCAGTAATCTTCCCTACTCTGGTAGCCCTCATAGTTCTGCATTCCAAAAGGGTGTCCTTTTGCCCCTCCAGTGTTCCATCCCGTGGTTGATTGCTCCAAGGGATGCATCTCCATAGTGTGTGGGTGAATCACCTGGGTTGAGTAGTCTGTATGTACGTCTTAATTACTACTTGGCTGAGAGCCATCCCCTGGGAGTGAGTTTTATTCCAGGCCTGAAGTGTATCCCAGGACCTTAGTATTAGAGGTCCCGCCATACTCCATCTGACCAGTAATTCTGTTCATTATCGTAAGCAGGAACGGTTACCTTGATATGCATTATTTTTTGTGTTAGTGTTGGTTTACAAACTCCTTGAAAGTGTA